GGGGGGGGGGGGGGGGGGGGGGGTGTTAAGCCTGCCAATTACCATTCACCATGTTTTGAAATCCATAAATATTTATGAAGCTAAAATGAAATCTCGTGAATGAAACCTGGAGATCAGGACAGGTTTGTGTAGCAATGCCTGTCTGACTGAGCATCACGCGTTGATAGAACCCACAGTGAGGCCGGAGATCGATTCCAGCTCACAGGAGGGCCATAACGTCACAGTCCGCTGGTCATCTCCCAGAAGCTCTGACGTGGCCACTGGCTTTTTGGTCGAGCTCTACGGACCCCAGGATGTAAAGCTGGCCAATGAGCACACCCTGCTTAACGTGCACTCCACCAAGTTCTACAACCTGGAGTACTACCGGGACTACCAAGTTATCGTCAGACTGGTCAACTGTGGCAGCTTTGGTCCAGCCTCGAAACCCCTCTCCATCCGACTCAACAGCCTGGGTAACTTTCACCTTTTCAGCCTGCAGAGGGCACTCATTTCCTTCAGTCCCTCCAACCAACATACAGCGTTCGACATTCTTATTCATTTTCACTTTCGTCACGTCCTGGAAGGTGACAGATTACATCAACATGCTAAGTTCCAAGCTGCCTCACATAACAGTTGCTTTTGAAAATCAAACTATATTTGGAGTCAAAGAAGCGAATGTTATATGAGGAACACAAGTCAAAATGGTGTTAAGCATGTATTTTGCAAAAGCAACATAGATCAGTGTTTCTCAATCTTTGGGGCACCACAGACAGTCCATGTTTTTGACCAGGAGCTGGGAAGGAGCAAAAATGTGGACCATATGTGGGTCTACAAGGACTGGGTTGGGAAACACTGACATAGATGGTTTGTCCCTCCCCAGGACCATCACCCCCCAGGAATGTGCAAGCCACCCCCATCTCCAGCACCACTGTTCTGCTAAAATGGCAGCCACCGGAGGACCCCAACGGCGGCATCATCAAGTACATTATTGAATACCTCCCTGTGGGCCAGGAGAGTCTGATCCCGTGGGTGGATACGGACGATGGCAACAAGACCATCAAGCACGTGATGGAGCTCAACAGCAGCACGCTCTACCAGTTCCGGGTGCGAGCCGTCTCCAAGGTGCTGGGCGAGTGGAGCAAATTTGTCCTGACATCAACATACGGGGATGGTGAGGATCACCTTCAATCGAAGAACCATATCCAGAACTACACCCTTGTGCAAATTAATTGAAACAAGTTGTCACGTCTATATGCAGACAGACTGACTACAGTTAAGATGGGCATCACAGTCACATTAATTCATATTTTTCACCTTGGGTCTGGAATTAGGACCCGGTGGATTGATTAGAAATATATGAGATTATTGCAGGATGGGTCACGCAGTTCATTGCAGGGCAAACACACGATTCATGCCTATGGGGAATTTGGCAACTCCAGTTTAACCTCAGCATGATTTTGGACTGTGGGGGGAAACCAGAGAACCCCATGATGACGTGGGCAGACGCCCAAACCCCAGGACATTCACTTGAGACATACATGGATGGATGAAACACAGCCATGCCACCCAGCTCTAAACCCCATCCGAGCAGATCTGCCGGTCTGTGGGCACAGTGCCTCCTCTGTCCATCCACTCAGCGTACTCTCTGCCCTTTTGGCTGTGCAAAGCATCAGGTCCCAGTCCACTGCATGCATGTCTGTGTGACAACTTGCTTCAGTTAGTTTGCACAAGGGTGTATATGCGCACACTTTTGTTCTGTTTCTTGGACCGTCCATTAATGACATTGTTGTTCTTGTGCCGCAGGCTCACCCAGCTTCCCCCCAACTATGCAGGGTGTGGGAGGACGGCCAGGGAAGGACGACTACCAGCTCCTGGTGGCCGTCGTGGGCTCCGTGACAGTCACCTGCGTGACCATCCTGGTGGCCCTGCTGGGACTCTTCTGCATACGGAAGCTCGTGTTCAGTCGGCGCAAAACCTTCACCTACCAGTCTGGATCCGTAAGCAGCACTTCTGTCTTACACAGGGGTGGGATTGTTGCTTCAAGAGCCTAATTCAAAAACTCACTTTAGGGCCCTCTGCCCCCCTCAGATGATTCAAAAACTAAATAAATAGCTAGTGAGTAGAGTCAGAAGATCGCAGCTAACTAGCTGGTTAACAGGACACACTGCTTCAGCGTCTCGTAAATAAGAAACATGTTTATTTAATATTCAGTGTAGTGACTGTGTCAGAATCTCAAGGGCCCCAGACAAAGGCATGGGTGGCAAGGTGGTAATGACCACCACTGCCCTCAAGGTCAAGCTAGGGCTGTTTTAATACTGCTGTTATTTACATACCAGGGATCCAGTCTAAAGAAAACTCAACAATGTAGCTATTTAATTTTAACATGATTCTTAACGGTACATGTGTTTTTTAGCATTCTGGTGCATAGACACATAATGGTGGAAGACCAAGCGTGAGTAAGTAAGTGTTCCCAACGGTTGGTCATGCAGGGAGAGGAGACCATTCTGCAGTTCAACTCTGGGACACTGACGTTGACCCGCCGGCCCAAGCCGCAACCAGAACCGCTGACCTACCCCATCCTAGAGTGGGAGGACATCAAGTTCGAGGATGTCATCGGGGAGGGCAATTTCGGGCAGGTCATAAAAGCCATGATCAAGAAGGACGGCAGCAAGATGAGCGCGGCCATTAAAATGCTGAAGGGTAAGACGCAACGGGTGAATCTCAATATTCATACTCAATCGTACTTCTCGTGTTCCCGTTTTATGTCATCTTCCATTGCCGAAGACCTGTTCAAATACTAAGAACACAAGTACATGAGCACAAGTGGTAAAAACTCCCTGGATATTGGTTACAGTCCACCCCAAATATCAAGGATACATTGGTTGCATCCATGCCAAATGAGACCAATCATATGAGTCATTGAGCCCCAAGTTCATTGAGATATTGAGATTCACCCAATGAGTCCATTAAGCGAACAAAAGTGCACATGAATAGCTATAGTGTCAAGGCATACGTGTAGGTGGAAAGCTCATCATTGGATACAAGTGCGAAATAAGTAATTTTTTATTTGTTTAAAAAATCATTGATAGGTTGCTCTTTCTAATTGCTGTACGATACCTCTTACCTTGTAGAGTTTGCGTCAGAGAATGACCATAGAGATTTTGCGGGTGAATTGGAGGTTCTCTGCAAGCTGGGCCAGCACCCCAACATCATAAACCTGATCGGGGCCTGCGAGAACCGCGGTGAGTGGCCTGACCTTTGCCCCCGCCCTGGGAGGGGACCTCAGAAACAGCCTTAACCTTAGTCTTAATCCTGAGTAACTAAGTTAAATGAGAATGACTACAAAGCTCTCAAAATGTGTTAAGGCTACCACGTTTAGGAGTTTACAAGACTCATTTGTCCTATACACAAAAGTTATAAACACAAGAAGTGATGTTGACCTTTGTAGTTTTAAATTTCTTCTGTAGGGAAGAAGCATTTTAATAATGTAATTAATTCCTGCACAGAATCTGACGTGAGCTTCATGCTTTTAGGGTATCTCTACATCGCCATTGAATACGCACCCTACGGGAATCTGCTGGACTTTTTGAGAAAGAGCAGAGTCCTCGAGACAGACCCCGCCTTCGCCAAGGAGCACTGCACAGCATCCACATTGACCTCGCAGCAGTTGCTGCAGTTTGCCGTCGACGTGGCCACCGGCATGCATTACCTCAGTGACAAACAGGTACGTCCTGTACGGCCAATCGTCTGTTAGTCCTCGGCCCCCATTTGCTTGTTATGTCTGATGTAATGCATGATGTAAAACTGTACCATAATGGTGGAACTGCTAACATTACTTACCATAACTTCAGCAAGGCATTGTTAAGGGTGAAAGGAGAGCTAAGTTCCATTAATTCAAACAGAGTTTGAGCTGTTCTCCAGGGAGGGATGATCTGTGCATCGGGACACGCTCGGTACGCACAATGAAATGATTGAAAACATTGCTTAACACGGGCAGAACCTAAATTCACAAGTAGATGTTCAACATGTGAAACATTATGCTAATTGTGCCTGTGAGGTTATGACTAATTCTGGTTACAGTCAGTCGTAACTGGCGGTTTGGGAACATTGTGGTTTTTCAATAAATTACACCAACACTGGAGAGAGAGTAGCTGATAAAACCACGACTGTCTCTCGACTCTGTTATACCAAACTGGAATATACTGCTGCTGCAGACACACCAGCATGCTGACTCGTTTGAGATGATATCACCTGGATTTAGTTCATCTTAATGATGTTATATATCATATATCTTATGATGTTATATTTTCAATTATATATATATATATATATATATATATTATCTACAATGTGCAAATAAGCATCCCATGTTATTCAGACATGTCAACATGTCTTTGCTTTACAACTTTTCCAAATTGTGTTTGTGGTATTAATAATGAATTAGCTCAGAATAAATTGTGTTTTCCTTGTTGTACTGAAACCTTGAATTTTGTTTCCCATTATACCCCTAGTACTAAACATGAAAAAATTGCGAAAAATGGCTGTTTAGTTCGCATAGCCACTTCCTCTTCGCTTTCTGGTCGCATGGAAAGCGATATAAGGTCAATTTTTTAGATTTTTTTGTTTTAGATCAATTAGAACACTGAGGCACACAACGCTGCGGAATATTGGCTTGTACCCAACTTGAGCCCAGAAATGGTCTGAAACTGTCATATGATTCAAACATCATGACTTTAAGAAGCGGATTAGCATTAAACGGCCCAGGAGTGGTCCTGCCAAATACTGGGCTGCTCCCAGGTGCTTTATGGGGTCCGAAGCATCAACAGTTTTCCAGTCTTGGCTTGTCTGACTTTGCAGGAGTCTTGAGTGTGCCGTACCTTTAAGCACTGCTGTGTTGGCTCGTTGGTAGATCGCCAAGCCTGCCGTGTACTCACTTCTGTTGATAAGCAAGCAAATCATAATTAAAAAAGCAAAAGTCAAAAACAATTTTAGAGGGGAAAAATAATACTTATTAAACCATTTCACAATTTTTGATTAAGTTAAAAGATTTTATTCACAGTATGCAAAAAATATTTCTTTGCTTTATTTCCCAAAACGGTAAACTTAATACATATAACTTGAGAAATTGTCACAAGGTTTCCTGGATAATCTCTTCTTCCAGTGAAGTTGAGAAAGAACCCAGTTGCATAATAGAAACTGAATCTGAAGAGGCACAGTAAAAGTAAAACTTCTGTTCACTCAAATTGTACAGAAATTGTTTTAACAGGTCACACAGCAAAATTTCACCCAAGAAACAAGATCCTCAAAAGAGACTAAACCCGAAAACCACTAAAAACCACAACGTTCGTGCAGCGTCCTGGGGCGCCAAACACTTTGCCCATTAGCCTGAATAACGAGCAACACACGCAGAGCCTGGTGCATCTTTAACTACTAATTATTTAATTAACTTGTAAGCAGGTGAGCTTGAGTGAGAAAATCTGAAGTTTTCCCTCAGCTCCCTCTGGTGGCCAGGTGGAGAAGTGACTGAGGTTTACCTTGTAAGCTTTGTTTCGGCTTTTTCTATTAATACTCTAACTAAAGGAAGGAAATTCTTGATTATTAAATAATTGCTCTTTTCTCCTCCTAACAGAAAACTTGATTCACAGTTATCAGTGAATTGATCAAACATATTATAAATACAAGAGAATGGTAAAACTACATTAAGAAGGGGATCTGGTCACAGTCAGTGATGTTCCATTTGCCCATCTGTCCAGTTTATTCACAGAGATTTGGCGGCCAGGAACGTGCTGGTGGGAGAGAACCTCATGGCTAAGATCGCTGATTTTGGGCTGTCCAGGGGAGAGGAGGTGTACGTGAAGAAGACCATGGTGGGTGTCGCCAGACCAGCTAGATGCCATCCTGAGCTAGAATGGATTTCGTTGCAGATGTGATGTTATGAGTTTGGAGGGTGACTTTACTCAGAAAACACAGGCGTTGATGCTAAGGATGGATGGATGAATGGATGCTCACCTGAGACAATGTTTGAAAACTTTCTGTACCTCTTCACTACCCATATATATTACTTGTAATTGCTTTCTGTCTATGATTCCCACATTAATGTACTTATTTTAATCTCAGTCATGTATACTTCCTGTTAAGCGCAAACTCAATCATATTATTAAAAACAACATTCATTTCTTTTCACGATTTTATATTACAATATAACCTTCACCATTTGATGGGAAATGAATGCAGATTTTATAAAGACCATTGCCACCAGTCACTAGTTTGTGGATTCTAGGTGTGGTGGTCTGCAGTGGTGGAGATTTCAGGTCCAGAGAGTACAAATCCATTTGTTTCAATCAATTAGTTGAGTACTCTGTGACTGTGACTCTTTATACTCAACTGGTTGGTTGAAACAAAATCTTGGTCTGGATTTGTATTCTCTGGACCTGAAGTCTCCACCTCTGGTGGTCTGGCAGAATGACTTACAAGAACATCTCTTATTATTGATTTCCCTTAATACAGTTGTACATGAAGTGTACTGGGTGGTCTGCATGGGTGGTCTGGTTGGTTTTACTCAGCAGTCTGGGGTTAGTACCTCTGGCTCCAGTTCCTGCTCAACTTTTCTGCCTTCTGAAAAAAACCATTCTTCTGGCTGAGGATCAGAGTCACACCAGGACCAGACCTTTGGGTTTATTATGTTCTTCCATCATATCTGTCACTTTTCAGTCTTTTTATTAGGCACTATGATCAAATCTCATATTCAGGTTAGAAGGGTATGGATATACAGCTGGAAACAGGTGGATTGCCCTCTAAAGACAGGACTGACCAATCGGCACGGCGTCTACAGTTTTCCAGGCGCTTAACCGGTTCGTCGTGGCTAAGAAAGAACTGAGCCGGAAAGCAAAGCTCTCGATCTATTGGTCCATCTTCGTCCCTACCCTCACCTATGGTCATGAGCTATGGGTAATGACCGAAAGAACGAGATCGCGAATACAGGCGGCCGAAATGAGGTTTCTCCGCAGGGTGTCTGGGCTCTCCCTTAGGGATAGGGTGAGAAGTTCGGATATCCGGGAGGGCCTCAGAGTAGAACCGCTGCTTCTCCACGTCGAAAGGAGCCAGTTGAGGTGGTTTGGACATCTGGTGCGGATGCCTCCTGGGCGGCTACCCGGAGAGGTTTTCCATGCATGTCCTACAGGGAGGAGACCCCGGGGCAGACCCAGGACTCGCTGGAGGGATTATATCTCTCGGCTGGCCTGGGAATGCCTCGGCGTCCTCCCTGAGGAGCTGGTAGAGGTACCTGGGGAGAGGGAGGTCTGGGTATCTCTCCTGAAGCTGCTACCCCTGCGACCCAAACCCCGGACAAGTGGTAGTTAATGGATGGATGGATGGATGGATGGATATATTTGCTATTTCTGACTTTTTATTGCTATGGTCGTACTATAAAGATTAGTCAAACAATTTCTTTTTACATTCCTCATTTTTTTCTTTCAGGGAAGGTTACCTGTACGATGGATGGCAATCGAATCATTGAATTACAGCGTCTACACCACCAAGAGTGACGTGTAAGTCGTGCACCTTCAACAAGACGCTTTTAACTTGGGATCGGTGTGCATTTTCAATCACACGGGTCTCGGTTTATATCCTACCAATCAAAGGCAAATCAGCATGTTTTTGCAGTGCCAGTTTCACACAGTTCAGCAAGCTGGTCGTGGCACGGGTAGTGTTGTCCTGCTGATAATTGCATGTAGGGCACAGATAACATTACCAGGACGTAAAAGCAAAACATAGTGACTGGCGCCACTATTTTTATGCGCCAAAGAACACTCTGTGCCTAAATTGGAAATGAAAAGGAAACCGGAGGCTTGGCCACCATGAAGTTTGTGCTTCTATGAATTATAGGGCTGCAGTTGGGCCTGTCTTACAGAACCAGAGAGTGGTACATCTTGCACACCACAGAGAACTGGTGCAGAGATAACCTAAAGCCACAAGCGGCTGACCGTTACTTACTGTTTACTTAACAGAGAACTAAAATGTGCTTTGCAGCTGATTTTACCAGCAACCAAGAAGTATCTTATGGGTTCTGGGCAAAGGGGTGTTCATGTCTTCTTCCAGTGTTAATTTAATCCAAAAAAGAAAATAACACGCATGAAATTTTAATTCCCCTAACAGGAAGATCCTTAAAGCAGCTGTGCTCTGACACCTGTGCAGTATGCTTCAGGAGTTCATTTAAGCACATTGTTGCTAAACATTTTCCCTTCCTTTATTTCAGGTGGTCCTTTGGCGTGCTTCTTTGGGAGATTGTAAGTTTAGGTAAATGAACAGTAAGCTAAACAGATAATTAATGCTTGTTGAAGTTTATTGGCTTTTTTATCTCCTGAGGTAGCAGATCTTAATCATGTCAACTACAGCTGTTGACTTATTAGAGGAGCTCTGATCTCACTTACTACCACAGATCTAGTACCACAGGCAACCAGATAGGCCCTGTGGGAAGATGTAGAAACATCTCTGATAAGGAAATTTCATAACTGTGCCTGCAGTCAGGAATAATGGTTATCTGTCTGGTAATTAAGGTTAGATTTAATGAAAATTAATACTGAAGTAGGTGTTTTTACTGCTCTTATTGCCAAACAGATACCATCATCCAGACTAGGTCAGTTATTTTTTTGCCATGTAGCTATGAAGAAATTCAGTTGTGTGTGGAATCTGTTCTCCCCAGGTGGTTGTGGGATTCATTCTGAGTATTCTCGTTTCCGCCCCTGTTCAGAAAAGTGCTAAGGTGAATTGGAGTTACCAAATTGTCCGTAGGTGTGAAAGTGTGTGAATGTGTGTGTGTGTGTACCCTGCAATCGGTTAGTACCCCGTGCTGGGTTACTCCCTGCCTTGGGTTCGTAGCTTATGGTACAGCCTTCAGACTCTAGTAACCCAGCACTGGACAAGCGAGTATAGAAAATGGATGGATGGATGAATGGATGGATGGAACTTTATCAAAGGTATATGGCAGGGTCAACCCTAATGCTTAAAAGACTAACCCTCAACCTTAATTTAATTTAAGGTTTATCTATTTATCAAGCCCACACATTCAGCCACCATAAAACCCCACTGCCTTGTTCATTATCCATTTTTGGGTTGTGTCGCAAACCCACTGAGACTGTTTATACAACATGCAGAGATGAAGGTCCTGATACTGAAGTGTATCCTGTCTCCCCCAGGAGGGACCCCATATTGTGGGATGACCTGCGCTGAACTTTACGAAAAGTTGCCTCAGGGCTACAGGATGGAGCAGCCCAAGAACTGCGATGATGAAGTGTAAGTACTCACAACAAGCCAAGTATAAGTACTCACACGGAGTGTAAGTACTCGCACTAAAGATCAGCGATAGTGAAGTTTTCCACTGCACCAGGCACCATACTATTTAAAACCAGGGTGCCCAATACGTCGATCGCAATCCACTGGTCGATCGCAAAGTTCGTGTGGGTAGATCGTATGGCAAAAAAATAGAGGATGCGTGACGCGTTCAAACACGCCAGCTGCTGCAAATTTCTAGCAAGGTACCGAGTCCCCTAGTTAGCCTCCAATTTATTTCTACTAAACTTAAGAAATGGTATAAAAATAAATGGGGGAGCTGGACCAAGTAAGAAGCTAAAATCCTACCACTTCCATTTTTTCACCATGTCAAATTCGAAGTATGTTTGCCTCATCTGCCAGTCTACTGTTGCTATTCCGAAGAAGGGAAATGTGGAGCGGCATTTTCGGACTGTTCATAAAAACTACGACATTAACTTCCTTCCAAAAAGCGAGCTGAGAAATAGAAAGGTGAAGGAACTAAAATCCCAGTTCAATTCAAAAATACTTTATTTATCCCAAAGGGAAATAATAAGAATAATAATAATTATTATTATAATTATTATTATTATTATTATTATTATTATTATTATTATTATTCGTATTATAAATAATAATAAAAAATACTCCATATTTTTTATACATAGGCCTAAATATGTTTTTGCATTTTTATAGTAGGTAGATCATTTTGACTTGGTCATTCATAAGTAGCTCGCAAGCTGAAACCTTTTCAGGGTTATCGAGTGTACGTTTAAAAATCAGTTAAAAGTCTGCTGCTTTTGCATGAGCGCTGCATGCGTTCTCTGAGACACTCATAATCAGTTTCATCCTTGCTGTTTAAATCACTCCTAGATGGGTTTCTGAGAAACTTTTTTGCTTTATAAAAACCCCAGTATTTATTAAAACTAAATCACTTTCCAATGCTGTGCTGCCCTAATATATTATACAAAATAATTAATTTATTTCTTGTCATGCCATTTAGATCTTGATGTATCTGTTCTTTCAACCAGATCACAATAAAAGCTTGGATCTCTTCATTTGTCCATGCATCCATTATTACTACTTTTTATTTATTGTTTTAGTTTATTGTTGTTTTTTGAGTTCGTAACTTTTTTCAACAATGCCGTATATTTCTGTTACAGAAGCAGGCTATTTGCATAACCAATTGACCAAAAAAAAGCATTTCAAATCCCACCCCAAAGTACCAAAAAATTACTCCAGTTGGTTTGGCACTTTACTGGAACTTTCAGTACTGGTACTCGACCAGATGTCAATGCAGAAGGGAAAGTACCTGGTGCAGTGGAAAAGCACCCTCACTGGGCAGAAGGACCTTTGACAGTCTCAATATATGAAAGGAAATGATTTATTTGCCAGTTATACAAGTATGAGTACAGTAAGTAAGTAAAGTTTATTTATAAAGCACCTTTCGTAGACACAGGGTCACAGTGTGCTTTTCATTTTAAAACTGGTACATAAATAAATGTATAGAAATGAGTCTAATACCAATAAAAACAAAGGGCAGTGTCTCAAGGCATCATGAAAATAAAGATCCCCAGGGATTTGCCTGTACTGAGGCACTGGGGTTCACATAGGTGTGAGTAACACACTAATGCTACATGCTAGCCAAAGGCGAGTTTAAAAACAACTCGTTTCCAGCAGACATTTAGACTTATAAACTTAAGACCACAGGGATACTGGAAGATCATTGCAAAGTCTGGATGCAGCAACTGCAAAGGTCACCCTGGGTCTTTAAATGTGTTCGAGGAACCGTTAATAGCCCCTGAGCTGAAGACCCAAGGGACCGGCTCGCAGTGACAGTGTGTCTGTGACATATTCCCGGAGCCTGGCCATGCAGGGCTCTGTACGTTAAACGCAGGATTTTAGCATGAAGCCAGTGTAAAGAAAATGAAATGGTGGTGAGTTGTAAGCATCTACTGGACCTTGTTATAAGCCTAGCAGCAGCATGTTGGAGTATAGATACATTGGAGTATAGATACATTAGAATGCTTCTTCTCACGCCTCCTGTATCCTGCTCTCCTCTGAGACACACAGGCATACATACAGTACAAGTGAGAGTGAAGTTTGGGGTCTGATTGTGAGATTAGCCATTTTTTGGTAGGGGGGGGCTGGGTAGAGGCCTTTTTCAGGGGCTCGCTGACCATGTCACTATTTTGCCAAGCATGAGATTCAAACCAGCAGCCTTATGATCATAGGCACAGAGGCCTATTCCACTGAACCACACCCCCCCAAGTAATAATGATGATAATAATAATAATCAATGCTTTATTGATCCCCATGGGGAAATTGTCTTTTCACCTCCCTCAACTTGCTCTTCATAGAGTAAGCTGTCCATGAAGGGCAGCCACCTGTAGCGGTGCCCAGGGAGCTGGGGGTTAAGGGTCTTGTTCAAGGATCCGCAGACATGCTGAGGCTGAACCGGCGACCTTGTGATTACGGCACACAGGTTTAGCCCACTGAGCCACACTCTGCCCCTTGCTGTTATATAACATGTGAAATCTTGTCGCATCTGCAGGTATGAGCTAATGAGACAGTGCTGGAGGGATCGGCCCTATGAGAGACCCCCTTTCACCCAGATTTCCGTGCAGCTCAACAGAATGCAGGAGGCCAGAAAGGTAAGCCACAGACCCTAACCCATGTCTGGGTTTGTTTCAGTCTCTCCAAAAGCAGAGCATCTGCTAGCTGCTGACCTGGAACGGCTTAGAAATTACCCAAGAGCCCTGACTGTCTCCATACAGGCGTACGTCAACATGGCGCTGTTTGAGAACTTCACCTACGCTGGAATAGATGCCACTGCGGAGGAAGCCTGACTACCAGCCCACCCGGACCCTGGAAGCCTTGGTAGCTGTATCACCTCAGACCGTTACTGTCTTCCACCTGAAGATCACCGCACCGACGGACTAAGGATATCGCTTGGGGCACAAAGACTGTAGCTGAAACACTGGGAAAGGACACTGAGGGGAATGTCCAGATAGAAAAGCTGTGAGTTCCCAGAGCCAACAAAAGGTGCTCTGGTGGTTATTGCCGAGCTTCTACGCCTCCATAAATGAGCGTTGGCTCTTCTCACCAGACGTGAGGATGGATTTAAGAGTGACTAATGCTACTTCGTCACGCCGGGTCCGTGGTGTGTATCTCGTAGCCTTTGTTTTGCTGTTTTTCTGTCGTAAAAAAAAAAGTGCCAAAAAGAGAGATGCAAAGCGAAGTCATACAAGTGAAATGAAATGTAAATGTTTTCTTGCATTTATAATTAATCAACATAACTTGCTGATATGAAAACCAGTTTTATCAAATCTGTAAAGCACTTCATTATGAGTCTTTAAAATGGAATATTTTCCGTGCAAATAACCGTGATTTATTTTTCGATGTTGATTTGACCTGGTTATTTCTTTACATGTCACTATCAGCAAATATCTATTTGTTGTTATCAAGTGAAAATGTACAAATTTGTGTATTCCTCATTTTTTTTAAGTAAAGTGTCTCTGTGATGACTACATTTACCCAAAAATGGCATGGACTTGTGGAGAACACATGATCTATAGATGTTACACCACCAAGGTGTTGTCTGTGAAGAACATTTGAAGGTAGAAGAAGAGGTCACGCATTCTGAGATGATATTTCTCTTCTTAATGTGATCCTGCATCAAAGTAGAATATCTCTAAAGGTGCTTCCTTCACCTGTTCACTTCTAAAGACCTTTGAGGTCATAAGAATTGACCAGGGATACAATATTCACGTTGTACACTAGAGGAGTTCCTCGCTCTACTCTGAACAGTTCACCAAAATGGATCATATTCCTGTTGCACAAGAAGCCATTTTTCAATTGCAACTTGTGTTTGCCTCTATTGTGAGACAATTTTCTCACCCAGTGCCGGGGGGTGAGGGGGTTGGGGGGGGGGGCAGCCCACGTGTCAGCTTCTCAGAACCTTGTGGTCTGCGAGGGCCCGGCGTTTTCACTGCTGCAGCTCGCTGATCTGTCAGGAGATTTCCTCCTGCAGCGAGCCGCAGCCCGGGAGCTGTCACTGTCACGCAGGGGGGGTTTGGTGCCAGCATCCGGTGTCTTGTAGCTGCTGTCCGCAGCTCACATGCTTCCCGTGGCTGCTGGGCCTCTTGTGTTTACAGGGGTATGGGCAGAGTTTGGTCTCTGGGCATCTCCTCTGTCTCTTTGGATGCCATAGCTGTCGTCCTTGTCTTGGGGGCCACTAGACCACTCACATTGTGATAAATTACATTGGTAAATAAGGCTCATTTTCTTGCTTTTCCTTTTTGTTCAGCTACCTTTCCTTCAAAGGCTTCGTATATTCATGCTTTATCATTTAGAAATATGTTTTTAACCGTATTCATTATTAGGTTTATTGTCAGTTAAGAATAAGCTGTGATCGCTTTAGATTTTCAAAGCTTATTCCAAATGCATGATAACTGTGTGTTCAAACATTGCCATGCTGGGACGCTGTTTGCTGAAGAACATACATTTTCTAAATATTTCCATTGCAGGAGGTGAAAGACTGACAGCATTGAGCAGAGGATCTCCACAGGTTTAGGCTCAGCACCCACAGTATTCTTTGGTCAGTGAGCCACGAACCAGATTCATGATAAAAGTAGTTGATCTGTGTGGGAGATGATAAGTTTTTGACTAGATGGGGTGTGACAGCAATAAAAATATCCAACGGGGGGGGGGGGGGGGATATATTTTTTTTTTTAAACAAAGCCCTCCACAAAGCAATGAAAATGGTCTCATGACCCGCTTCTGGATTGCGACCCATTTGAAAATCACTGAAACAGAGGATTAGTCGCTGAGGACAATTCTGGAGTATAGCTCCATGACCCCAAATGACACTGTGTCATACAGGAACCTGGCTGCCCGCAGCATGTCACAAATGACCCCAAACACACCTCACCCCATAATGAGCTACTGATTGCAGGTTGAGAGTATACACCTTCCTCAGTTTGTGAGGAAAGATGGCATCGCTACATATGTGTGTGTGTGTGTGTGCATGTAAGCATGTGAGCGGTGCCCAGAAAGATATGGTTATACGACTGCATGTGTATGTGTGTGTGTGTGTGTGTGTGTGTGTGTGTGTGAGCGGTCCCCAAAAAAATATGGTTATACGACTGCATGTGTATGTGTGTGTGTGTGTGTGTGTGCAAGCGGGTTTACCTATCCTTATGGGGACACAATGTCCCCATAACGTGATAAATATCCGTTTTTTTCCCTTATGGGGACCAGTTTCCTGGTCCCCATAAAGGAAAACTCTATTTTATAAAAATCGGTGACTGCTATGAAAAAACTAAAAATGCAAAAATTCTTGTATTTTGTTTGGTTACTTATGGTTATGGTTAGGGCAGGGTAGGGGTTAAGGTTGTCATGGTTAGCGTTAGCATTTTTCCCATTGAAATGAATGAGTGGTCCCCATAAGGATATGTTTACCCTACATGAGCATGTGAGCATGTGAGCGGTCCCCAAAAAGATATAGTTATACGACTGTATGTCTGTGTGTGTGTGTGTGTGTGTGTGTGTGTGTGTGTGTGTGTGTGTGTGTGTCACACACTGTGCCAGTGTCCGCAGCCGGCAGTGGGGCCCCAGTCTAAGGTTGGCTGCCTCAATCGACTTACACACGCTTCCTGTTTCACTGGGTCCTGTGAGATAGCGCCTGTTAACTCTGTACAAAGCCACCCCCCAGGGACCTACCCACCCTCACTAAGTTACACACCAACACGCACACACACACGCACACAGAAGACGCCAGTCTCCAGAGAGCGGTGATGGGATAAGAACACACCTGGGCTGTCATGGATGTCCGCCTCGTCAGCTGGATGACATACGTCTGGATCCAGGCCCAGATCTGGGATGTGCAGGGGTATCAGTCTGGACCAGTCGATTACGTGTCAGAGAAAGGTAGGGAGAACCAATAAAAGCACCCCATGTTAATGGATGAAAACATAAACAAAAATCAGATCTGAGTTGTGAGTTGAAAAGATTGACGTCAGTCTACACAGAACAAATGAGCCTTTGTTTTATCTGTTTTAGAGAAGTCCAAAACATGCCTCTGAGTGCTACCCAAGCAAAGTTTAAGAAAGAAATATACAGGAAATGTTTACAAAACACACATCCAAAATAGATTAAAATGGTTTTAAAATACCACAAAGCCTTAAAATATCTTTCTGATATTGCAACTTTTATTCATTATGAAATTATAAAAAGGTTGTAATGTAAATCAGCAGTAGAAGTTCGGCGTTACTGACAAACAAATCTCCACAGTTTTTCTAAAAAAATTTTAATAAGAGCTCAGGGTTAAAGGCACTGAGGTGGATAATCTTTGGGAGTCTTTGTTAACATTGCGTTACACTATTCATATGCTCAGTGCATTACAAGAGTAATTTAAAGACAGGTCCAAGTTTTAGGAAAGATACATCTAATTTCAACATGCATTTGATCCTGTGAATGATATGTGGACGGAAAAGAAAATTTTAAACATACAAGCAATAATGAATCATATAATTGTTAAATGGTTAAAAATAAATAAACTCTGCATTCTGAGAAATATATTAACAGCATAATAATAATTATAGTTCAGCAAAAAGTAAATTTAAGGGGGAAATCCTAAAAATTGTTTAAGGAAATGAGTGCCATCATAGGACATTACATTATTATTAGTGCCTTTTGTAACAAATTCAAGTTTGTTCTGTCAACAGACATTTCCCTCTTGGAGGCAGATAAGAATCCAAAATGTTTCACTCGAACCCTAGAAGATTTCACTTGCTTTTGGGAGGTTTCAGATGACACGTCATATGACTTCTTCTACAAAACCGATGAGTAAGTTGCAGATTATGTGACAAATAACCAAGATAAAATTTGCAGACTCAATGCAAAGCCACAAAAATGTTAAATACTGGGGAGCTCCACATGCAAACAAAAATCTAAACACGCATTTCACATGTATGTATTCTATTATATAATGAATCATAACTTCAGATATAGACAAAACAAGTAATTTTAGTAACACTTTAGGGCATGTTTTTAGTCATTTATAAACACATTCATAATGCATTATAATGCATTCATAAAGCATTATAAACATGTCTATTAATATTTATAAAAAGGCATAACACATTATAGCCATGTTTATCATGCATTATGAATGCTTTATGAAGCTCTCATCTATAATGCACTATAAATACCTTTATAATGCAGTACAAAGCATCCATAATGCTTATAAAGACCATTATAATGCATTATGAAGGTATCAATAGTCTATTATAGATGAGAGCTTCATAAAACATTCATAATGCATAACGTGTTATGCCTTTTGATAAATATTTATAGCCATGTTTATAATGCTTTATGAATGCATTATTATTTATTATGAATGTGCTTATACATTTCTAAAAACATGGCCTTTACGTAAGGTATTACCAATGTGCTGACTTTCAGGTACCACTGTGATTTATCTTTTTTGTTATCTCCAACCTGTGAAATGCTTCCTCACTCCACACATTGAATAACGGTCTGGGATGGTAAAGGAAAAGGGAACAACGGTTGTTGTTACTGTATGTTAGTGAGATAGAACCTTAAGACACCCACACAATTTTAACATATTTTGTCCATCACCCATGTATTCTAACTGCTTATCCAGCACAGGTTCTCTGAGGGGCCTGGAGATTAGCCCAGGTAGCACACGGCCCACTATGCCCAAGCGCAGAAACACACACGCTATATCATGGGCAATCTAGTAACACCAATTCACCAAATCGTACAGGAGGAGAGAACCTGGGAGAAAATGCAAACTCCACCCCCCGAGAGGTGGAGCGTGAATAAATGTAATTAATTAATGATAATTAATAAAAATAGCAAATGAATTGATGAAAAGTAAAGCTTTCGATGAACCTCCCGCTATGGTGCAATTGCTCTTTCTTCAGACAAGAGACCACGTGCAACCTCACACGCCAGAAAGCCGGCGGGGGCCGGTCTCTCCAAGTCTGCTCCCTCCCTGCCTCCGATGTCTTTCTCTACGCTGTCACAGACATCAGAGTCGTGGAGAGGAGCACCAACAGGACGGTTCTGAACCGCAGCGTCAGCGTGGAGGACCAAGGTGCGCAGGGCTGCCCCATCTGCCGACTCCGGCATCACGTTTTCCCCGAAACCGGAGTCACGTCCGCTTCACTTCTGCTTCTCCTCCAGTCTAAACGGCACGCCGCCCTTTGTCCCTTGACGGCTCGCTAACTTTAGGCCAGAAAGAAACATTTTGTTCATTTTTCTGTTTTGCGTATTCTTTTTAAAGTGTTGTTAGACCCCCCGACAAACGTCTCACTCAGCTTCACGGGGGAGGCGGCGCAACTCCGTGTGACCTGGCACATGGATGCTTCTTGGCAGAGCAAAGTGCAGTACGAGATACGGCATTCCGCCAACAACCTAGTGGGCAGCAAAATTCTGGTGAGGGTCACACCAATGCACCTTACTGAAGGTTATATGTTAAGTCAAAAAGTTATCTTCAGTTATATAATCACGGCGGGTCACGCCAACCCCAAATGAATCATCCTTACTTGGTTCATTTCATTTTAAAACACTGACACACGGCTCACAGGTTAAAAGTACAGTAATATGCAATGTCTGTTTTATTTTGTTGTAGGGTAATGACTCAAAATGAGGGTCTTTCCAGTTAATAAGTGGACTTTCAGTGGTTGTCGGTCTTGCTTTCAGAGCCATTTGCCAAATAGGTTTTAGATATAGATTTGAGTTTTGTTGTTCATAAACATTCCCCTGCTTTTTTAAGAGTAATGTCATAAACTGATTATATTGTTGATAGACATAGTGGGGTGAAAGTGTTTTAGGTTGAGGCAGCTTTACGGAACCCATATAGGCATCATTTAGTTTGTTGTTATTTTGGGACTTGTGTTTGCAAATAATGTCTATACTGAATAGTTGTACATTTGCAAACTGGGAAGGAAACCCTATTTTTTGCATTTTGTGTTGACCACACTTTTCTAAAAAATATGCTTGTGACACGTCTCCCATGTGGCTTTGACTTAAAATTAAGCATGTGGTCCACTTGATAGAAAATGCCTATACACACACACACACGCAAACACACACGCACACACACCATATGTAAGTGTGTATAAAATCTCATGATGTTTTTTGGTCCATATCACACAACCTTACATGCAACCGCATGAAAATCTTGGCCACCTCCGTCAGATTTGTTTTGCCATTAGCACTGTAATCAGTGGATCATACCATGAAATTATGTTCTTTTTGGTCATGGTGCAGTGGAACATAGACATAGACAGAAAAATATAATTAAAGATATGGTTTAAACATATAGCTTAAAATATAGTGTATGTATGTCATGACGAGTGGCGTGTGGAGACCTATACACTGTGTAACAAACTTGCTCTCTTTCCAAGATGAAGGCCTCATTGACGTACATGCTGGATTCTCTGATAACTGGAGAGGTTTGCTGTGTGCAACTTAGAGTCAGGCCCAATGGTTACAACACAAGAGGATACTGGAGTGACTGGTCTCAACCAGCAGCAGCTTTGGTGCCCCAGAGAGCCGGTAGTACCTCTTAATTCTATTTTCTTAACCACATTATAAACTTGGCTAGAAGTGTTATACACTCTGCTGGAAACGATGCATTTCAGGGAATGCCTTCAACGATATTTACTTAAATGATAGGAAACACTGAACAGCCACTAAAATAGTGTCCACGTGTAACAAGGACCACTTAATGCTTTAAAGCTGCTAAACACAGTGGTCTGTTCAGAGATTTGATACTTCCTGTCATGGTATGGGGCAGAACAGAGAATGCAGGGGCAGGATTCAGGGCAAACAAACTGGGTTTATTAACAGAACCGAAAACAAACAGGATCACAGTGGATCAATACAGGAGAGTCTAAGGCAGACAAGACAGGGACTCGCAACGTCGCTGACAGAGTTAAACTCTCACGAGAGGGAAACACTCATAGGCAGGGCTAACAGGGATCAAACGAGGCAGCTGAAGTGAATCACACAAGGGCTGGAACAAGAGGAAGGACGAACAAACAACAGGTTTGGCTTGTTTGGCACCACACTGGGGAGGAAGCAGAAGGTTCAGGCAGGTGGGGGGGAGGGGGGCAGCTGGGCGGGCAGTTTTGGTGCTAAGATGCTAATGGATTATTAGACTAGATCCACCACCTTGAACTTCTTGCTTGGACAGTGGAGGAAGTTGAAGAGATGAATTATATGAATATGAATATCATAGATACATGCATATCGGTTACCCCAGAACCAGTCGACTTTTCAGCTCAAGATTTATACATTGTTAGCAGAGGTGGAAATTTCAGGTCCAGAAAGTACAAATCCAGACCAGGATTTTTTTTCAACCAACTAGTGGAGTACTCTGTAACTGTGACTCCTTATGCTCAACTGGTTGATTGAAACTAAATCACAGTCTGGATTTGTACTTTCTGGACCTGAAATTTCCACCTCTGATTGTTAGTTTTTAATTTTGGAGCAGCATGGCATGGAATTTGCAATTTCTCACTGTGTCATTGAGGAGTTTCGTCCAGGTCCTCTGGTTTCCCCTCATAGTCCAAAAAAATGCGAATTGGAGCTGCCAAAATGATTGTAGATAGTTTTTCGTTTTCATAAATTCAAGTAAGTTTGATCAGTAGCAATTGATAATGTATGAATGGGAACAACAAAAAAAGAAAACACTGGTCTTTAGGAACACTGTTAACAAAATTCTACTTTTTAGAGGACATCGATCTTCTGTGCCACACTTCAGACCTACGCAACATCCAATGCCAGTGGAAGGAACAGTCATTCAAGGAAGAAGCCCATTGCATGCTCTTCTACCAGCTTAGTCCTCGGTAAAGCGGGGGACCTGATGTGGTACCATAAAGAACCCATATAGCACAAACTGACTTCACCTCTTCAAACAGAAGCATTCTCTCAGGAGCAATGACATTGTTGATGATTTTTTTGCAGTGGCAGCTGGCAGCAGTGCATGTTCAGCAAGAGCCCTGGTCAATGTATCTTCTCAGGGCTGGATTCCAGCATCATGCGGGTGAACCTCAGGATCAAAGAGGGGCCACATGAGTGGAACTTCTACACAGAGTCCTTTGCCATGGACGAGAGCAGTAAGTCAGGCTGACATTTGGTGCAGTTGGGGTGCAGCGCTCAGCCCGTTACACCATCTTTCTCTGTGACGCTCAAGTCAAACCAGATCCGCCGAAAGTGCTCAGCTGGGGCAAAGAGGGCACCAGGCTGCGTATTGAGTGGGAGCCGCCTCTCTGGAACCTGTCTGCTCACTTGGAGTATCAGATCCGCTACAGGTGCAACGGGGAGTCCATGTGGAAGGTGAGCACACAGGAAGATCCTAGGCAGAACACAGAGCCCAACTAGGCTGTATCGCCTGACTGATGCTTGAAAATGAAACAAACCTTCAAAGAATATTCATTAATATTGCAAAAAAATGGTCACAAAATCAGGATCTGGCTGCATTTCCTGGGGGAGAGTAAAGAAACCCCAGCCTGTATCTTGACTGGGGGCCAAAAACAGGTGAATTGAGTAATGTTGCCCCAGAATGCCCACACCTCCAATCTCATGATGATTATCTATGGTTCACTTTGCTCTAAGCAGCATTGTGTGAGAAAACATGAGATGTGTCATGTCAACTGATCCAGTTCCCTTTTTCATCTAGTTAGTCATCCTGCAAAGCCCAAATAACAGCACGACTTTGGACGTGCAAGCAGGGACCCAGTACCACATCCAGGTCCAGACCAAGCCAAATGGGTCCATCTACAAGGGGATCTGGAGTGACTGGTCCAACACTCTCTGCGTGGACGTGCCCTTGGACACAGGTACTACATAACTTTGATCAGACCCAGACAGCGCGGTTATTGTATTTTCCAGCACTGACCAGAACCCCCCCATCCCTGCCATTTTTGCAGAAATGGTGTTTGTTGCAGGCATCTTTCTCATATCGTTCATTGTGGTGGCCTTGTTGATTACATCCTTCTCCAGAAACATCAGGTATCCCCTTGTGATTCAAAAGCCGTTTTGACACATGAACACTTTGACACATGACATTGTCCAGTGAATCAGGTCTAGACATTTTCTGAAGTTCCCTTTCACGCATGTGGCACACAACTGGAAATTGTCTGTGTCAGACACATTCACACCTACTAGAAATAATAGTTAGTTTAGATGAGAGGTGGTGCTTGGGCAGAGCTTGCAGGAGGCAGGGCATGACACAAAAAGTATTTTGCGGAAAGTGTTTTTTTTACAGCACTAGCGACAGAAGTTCCCAAATCTCGTCATCTCTCCAGTTGGCCATGTTCATTGGGGGTCATCTTCGTGTAAATTACCTTCACTGTTTGTAGCCTTATGAGCCAATTACACTGCATCTCACATATGTCAGAATGGCAGTGCCTGATTTACTCAACTTCATTACCTGTGTCCACTAGGAAGATCAAGCAGCTTCTGTGGCCCCCAGTCCCAAACCTGGAAAAGGTGCTTGAGGGTTTTCTTGCAGATATCAACAGAGAGTGCCAGGTAATTCACCCATATCATTATCGTGTTATCTGTTATCCAAGTAAAGCTCTAAGCTTTCCTACAACAGGAAGTTTATTTTCCAGAACCAGGACTTTTTTCAGGAACCAGGAACTCAGCCCAATTGTAGTTCCTTGAAGGTAGTTCCAGAACTTATTTTAGTCCTTACTCCTTACTATGTACTTTTCGTTTGATCACGAACTACTGGGTGCCCTTTATAGTGATAAACGGGCTGATTGGTTGACCACAAGCACTGGCGCAAATTTGGAAGTTATGCACAAGTATATTGTTAGCCAGAGGTGTACCACAAAGGCAGGACAAGGGCAAATTAAGGTTGTATTGTAACAGAGAAAACAAAATGAGCAGAGGACCTCCTAAAATTCAACAGTCATTCATTCAACCCAGCAATCCTCAAAAGGTGCTTTCACAACGAAGTTCTGGAACCTAGTCCCTGTTTACAAGTTCCTGCGCTTTCTCGACTGGAAACTTTTGTAGCTCCTGGCCACTTTCAAGTGTCGCTTTCTTACCGGACAACAGGAACTAGGACCTTTACAAGCATGGGCGATACAAAAACCTTGTAGGTTAAGCTTCACACATTTCATAGGAAACTACACCACCGGAGGATGAACAAGTATTTTTGATAGTTGTTAGTTATTGGGGGAATCTGTCACAATCAAAATGGGACCCAGCCTTTTATGGAACCTGAGTTGAAGTCTCTGCCATGTGACACATGCCATGTCATGTGTGTGGAGTTTGCATGTTCTCCCCATGCTGTTATGGGCCTTTCTCCAGCTGCTCCAAGTTCTCAAATTATCCATAGGCGTGCTTGGGTGAGAGAACCCACTCATTCTGGGTTGTTCTCTGTCATGTGCCTGCAGCCACCGGGATAGGCTCCAGACCCCCTGCAACAATGAATGGTTTCAGAAAATGGATCTTTATGATTCTTATTAAATCTGGCCAGCGGACTGATCTTTAATTTTCCACAGAATAAAAGATGATGTAAAGTTATCTTCCTAATAAGCGCTGATAAATTTCACCACTGGCAATATCAGACAAAAGTATATTGGTTATTGTTTGAATTTTCCATTGCAGAAATTTGGAGACAGAAGCAAAAAAAGAGTAATAATTGATGCATTGAATGTAATTGATATACAGAAGTAGTTTCATTTGCTCAGTTCTTGCTCTGCCAGTTTTATCTCTTTTCCCAGCACTTCCTCGTAACTTCCAAGTCACCACTGGTGCTTGTGGTCCACCAATCGTCAAGCTATCGCTGTTAATGCCTCCGAGTAGTTTGTGTTCAAACTAAAAGTACCAAGTCTGGAGTAGGTACTAAAAAAGGGTTCTGGAACTGCCTCCAAAGAACTACAATTGGGTCGAGTTCCTCTGGTGTGAACAGGACAGAAGTCCCTGGTTCGGAAAAAGGTCCTGGTTCCTGAAACAAGTTCCTGCGGTCTGAACACACCTGAAGGGCACCACCTTACCAAGCACATACCCATTCATCATCTCAGCTGGCCATATTTAAATCCCAGCCTAATCTTGGTCAGCTAAATTAGATTAGCTAAGCCTTATGAACAATCGCTTTGAGACACATATGATCAGACAAACTGACCCCTTGTCATTGCTTTGTATCCCGCTAAGCTACTATATCCAGCCATTCATAAAATGCCCTTTAACAAAAAAAAGTTGCTTTTGCTACTTCATCAGTGTGTGAACTTCCTGCACTTTTGCAGAGTCAAACCTTCAGCGTGAAGCAGTGCTATGAGGAGACCCCGGCATCAGTGGTGGAGATCGTGCATGAGAAAAAGCCCTTTGAAGGAGGAAAGGGCCCCAAGGAGGGTGTCCTTCAGCTCCTGCTGGAGGGGAAGACAGTGGGCGAGTGCATCACCCCACTGGAGACCTGCCCAGACTACATAACCCTGAACCCGGAGAATGTCATCTCAAGCCTGAGGAGCAACGAATATGTGTCTGGGGGTGGGCATCTGGTGGGAGTCGGCCTGGAGGTGTGGCAGGCCGGCCACCCCTGCTCCTGCCCCTGTCCCAGCAGTGGCTTCACTCAGTCCATGGATCTACTGAACCAATCTTACCTCCTACCAGCTGAGATGGGCAAGGGCCTGGGCTTCAGGGAGCTGGCCAGCAGATACACCAACCTGGAGCTAGCGACTTACCCAGCTGCCTTGGACTGACGGGCTGAGGGGCCGCCAGCCACGTGGCACAGACATGGTATACAGGGTAACATTCATCAGCACCACTACGGTTTCTAGCTTCTAGCTCTGCTTGCTGCACATAAACACTGGTTGTACTTTGTGTGACCGTAAGGTTTTCATTCCTTCTCTAGATAACCAGAAACTAGACTGCGTGAAATGAAGTGACATTTCACCTCATTCTATAGGTCTTATAAGCAAGAATAAGGCTTGAGGTTTCCTCCTACAGTCCAAAACTATGCAGTTCAGTGAAATGGTGCCTCGGAATCGTTTGTGCCCTGAGATGGACTGGAATCTTGTTCATAGCTTCTCCCGACTTCCTGTGATATACATGCTCACCATGACCTTGTACTGGATGAGTGTTTGTGGAAGACGGATGGATATCTACGATTCCAGTAAGAACTAGTTTAAAAATACAAACCAACTTATATGTATGTAACCAAATCCTTTTCAGAATATCAAATAGCAAATCTATGTCAAGAAATGTTTACTTATGTCCATTGATCAATTTTCCATATCTGCTCATCCAGTACAATTATAAACTGTAAATGATTGCTTACTCACCAATACTTTATCATCCTTTTATAGACCCTGGGTTTATTACATATTTAGTGTTATGTATGCTACACATACTATATATTCATTCATATTTTAAAACTGCAATTTTTTTGCACAATATACTGTAAAATGAGGGCTTGTAAATTTCTGCTCTATATTCATATATAAAGACGACAAAGGCCAGTGTTACACCACCGCCGCATGTCACTGAAATGGTCACATGACGGAGAGAGGCAGGTTGGTGTGAGGTTACCATGCCAGCAGGGCGGCAGTAGGAGGCTTAGGTGGGTATACGTGCACATCTCCTGGTTACCATGCCAGCAGGGCGGCAGTAGGAGGCTTAGGTGGGTATACGTGCACATCTCCTGGTTACCATGCCAGCAGGGCGGCAGTAGGCGGCTTAGGTGGGTATAAGTGCACATCTCCTGGTTACCATGGGTTACATGTCACCTGCATCTACTAACAACATATCGATTTTGAGCAGCATTTAATAAGTTGCAATTTCCCGGGGGGGTTCCACAAATACATAATATAAGGGGGGTGGACAGGCAGGCTTGAAAGCATCATGTAAGCTTACCCGGTAATATCTGAGGCATATAGAACTGGTATTATTGTAAGTTTGATTTTATTCATACAGATTAAAGTAATTAAACCATTACTTATGGTGTGTAACTTATTAAACACCTGGTACCATTTCACTTCTGGGAAGACGGGCAGTGGGGAATCAGCACGGGCACCTCGTCTTGCCACACCCCAATCGGGACACAGGTAGAGAGAGCAAATGTGTTTTGGCACGGCTATGGCAGAGGAGGAGCGGGGGAAGAACACCAGGCCCGGCAGCCCCTTCAGAAGAGCCAAGGGCAGAATCAGTCAGAACGGAGGCAAAAGTCAAACCCAACCATCTGCTTCTGAGCTGGCGGACGGCTGCCCTCTGCCCCGCCTGACAGAAAGTGTCTATTATTGGTTTTGGAACATCTGTGACCACAAACGCTAGCAGGCTTCACAATAGGAGTGTCATTTTTTTTATTAAACATTAAGACATTACAATTGCAACAACTTAAAAAATAAGCCATACTAAAATGCATAATTTTCATCTGGCCTCAGGAATGTTCCGAAAACTCATGACAGCGTACAGAAACCAACTTAAGTGCTTCCAGGACAAAAATCCATCGAGGTCTGGAAGGTGAAGGAGTTAAAACTAAAATTAATTAACATCTGGGTACCCTAATACAATAATGCATTCGCCTCAAAAGCTGATTTCAACAGGCCGTTTAAAAATGACACTGCATGGACAAGTGATTTCACTGATAAAAACTGACTTTAGCAGCTTGTACGGCAATCACCGAGGACGATGGCACGTGCAATCAAACGTGCAAGACCACGAGTCTGCTTCAATGACAGAACGTTTTCCCGCGGAGCCCAGAACTGTGCGATGTAAGCTTTGCCAGCCCCAGGTCAGAGAACATTCTTGCAGGCCCACCCCGGGTCCCGGAGGCTGTCATTCCTCCTTGAGGGCGTAGAGCACGTCGTCTTGGCTGACGTTGAGACGCACGCGGCGCAGCACGTCCAGGCGGCTCGGCTCAAGCAGCAGAAGGCGACAGGCTCCCAGGCGCTGGCACACGGCCAGACCTTCGGAGATGCTGATGGGCTGCAGGCCCTCCACCCGGCACAGGGCCTGGTGCTGTACAAACACCTACAGGAGGCGCCAGAGAGGCGAAACAGAACACATAATCCCAGAGGAAACTGCTTATTATTACAGACTGCATAGTGTGTAACTACACAGACAAAAACAGACAATACTGAGCCTAAAATAAAGTGTTAGTGAGACAAACAGATCCATAGTTATTCTTCAACCTTGTGACCGTGCCAGGGTCCATCCTACCTGCTGGAAAGTGGCCTCCTCCAAACCCAGTCGGCGAAATTCCGCAAGAACCGCTCGTAGAAAGATCTGCTCCTGGACAGAGGCGCACCTGCCAGGGTCAGATGGAGCCAGTAGGGGGCGTTAGTTTACCAACGGTTGAAGCTAAAGAAGAAGCAGACTCCACCCACTGCGTGGACTGACCTTATAGCTGCGATGTAGGAGGAGGAGAACATCTCATCCAGGGCCTCCATCACGTGACTCATGCCCACCAATCCTGAGCCTGACTGCTGAGCGGCGGAGTACTCGCAGATCTCCGTGGCACGTCTGCAGATGTCCAGGCACCTGCGGGCGTCTCCGGACAGGGCTGCCACCTGGACGGGGACGACAAGCATGGGGACGACTTCGAAAGCGTACAAAATCCAAACAGTCACATGAACCGGGCACACTACTGAAGCAGGATCACATCGTCACATCATAAGCTAAGAACTGGACTGCAACTGCTTCAGTCCAGAGTTGACCTCACTGTGTGAAACCCAAAAATAACAAATGGAAGCATTTAACCTCCTCACCATCCACCCATCTACCAGCCACTTTTCCTGGTCAGACTTGGAGCCCAGCCCAGGGCAGAAGGCAGAGCTACAGCCTTCACATTGCATATCAGAGCACACATACACACACCCACACACACGATGGAGCATTCTAGAGAAGCAGACCAGTCATGTCTTTGGTCTACAGCAGGAAAGGTGGAGAACACACAAACCTCACGCAGAGGTGGGATTTGAATCATCGACCTGGAGGTGTGAGACTACATGCTGAGGCACTGTGGAGCCCTATTTAACCCACTCATCCGTCTGTATTCATGTCCTGTGTTTAAACACATTACAACAGTGTTTCTCAACCCAGTCCTCAGCGAACCCCAGTCAGTCCACGTTTTTGCTCCCTCCCAGCTCCCAGCCAATCAGGAATACCGAATAGCTGGTACAGGTGCGCTGGGAGCTGAGAGGAAGCAAAAACGTGGACTGGCTGGGGTTCGCTGAGGACTGGGTTGAGAAACACTGCATTACAAGTAGGGGATGCATCTCATAATCAATCCCCAAAGCAAATCAAACCCACCTATGGATGACACTAGAAAAGACTGACTGATTCATTAAGACCCACAAGCCCAGGGCACTCTGGCATTGAGCGTGAGGTGAGAAGATCTCTACCTTCCTGGACACCAGCTGGAGGGCATCCTCCTCGAAGGCCTTGACGTGGTTCAGGCGGGATGTGATGATCTGCTGGAGCTGCTTGAAGGTGTACGGCTGGAAGGACATGCGGGTGAGGCCCTATGGAAACACAGACAGGGTCTACACAACGTTCGACTTCAATAGTTCAATCAAACTGCAGCAACAACTAGGCCTTCAGAAGATCTGCATTATTATTACACAAGTTTACAGCGTCTCCGAAAGACCGCAGCACCCATATGAAGGACCTACAAGGCGACTGGCCACTCGATTTATCATGATCCTTTCCGGAAGGTCCATCGTGTTGGCAATGGCCAGCACCACCAGACGTGCATGTCGCCGTGTAGGCCAGTCAAACAGGTTGTACATCACATTCTGCTTCCTGGTCCACAACAGGTCCAGCTAGGAAGGGAAAAGTAAAAAAATTGTTTGGCACTTCCATATTGGACACTCTGTTCAGTCAGATGATTTCTAAATTAACGTACAAATCTTTTCCAAACTATTGACCTTAGACAAATGGCAGATTAAAAATGACCCTACCTCATCCACCAGGAGGACTGTGGTCTCCTTCTTGGGGGCGGGGTTATTGAAACGTTTCGCCAGCAGGGCGGCGGCGTGGTCTGCTGTGGCCTTCTGGTCTGTCAGTTTCTGGGGGGGGGGGGGGGGGGGGCCAAAAAATTTGGTCATGTGCCAGGGGGTTAAAATTAAGGGATGTTTGTCATCTGTGCCATTAGCATAATGGGAAGGACAAGGCTACAGTAGGACCACCAGAAATACAAGAGTGACATAAAAAAACTCAGAAAACCAAAAGTGGAACTGAAGGGTTGAAGGTGACCAGAGCGTAATCTAGACACGAATAACGGCAAGATTATGCTTGTGGTCTTGGCAAGACCGGTCTTCTTAACAGGTCTCCTAAGAATGAACTTGGGGCTCAATGAATCATGAAATTGGCCTAGTTCTGTGAGGATGCAACCAAAGTATCCTTCATATTTGGGGCGGAGCAAGACCAACATTTTTACAGTCTGTACTTCTCTTCTTAGTATTGGAAATGGTCTTCAACAATGGATGATGTCATAAAACAGGTACACAACAGCACAAGTACGGTCAAGTACACATGTTGAGATTCCCCACAACACAGTGCGCCTCTCTGCACTCATGCCACCACACCTGCAGTATCTGAACGTAGGCCTGGTGCGGGTCTGTCATCTTCATGCCATTGATTTCAATGAAGTGGAAGGCAGGTATCTCGTCCAGCTCGGCGGCCTGCTGCAGGCTGCGGATAACCTCATGCACAGTGGCCGTCTTTCCTGTGCCCGGCACGCCCGAGATGTACATGCACCTGCCGGAGGATCACAGTCAGCCAAAAACAGCCGCGCTGGACAGACGCATGCAAGCTCAGCCCTACAAGGCTCCGGCCTGCAACCATTAGTGTTGCAAAGGGGAGGAAAATTTCCAGAAACTTCCCATGGGAAGTTAAGCTACAGAATTTTGGAAATATTGAACTCTGTAGAACGTTGCCCAAACTGTCACAAACGACAAAAGCAAACTGTATAAATAATACAAAATAGAATATGACTTAAGCAGTGTGTTTTACACAGATGCTTATTTTAGGGTTAGGCACATAATTACTCACAAGCACTTGGTTACACAATGATAACACATGAAGATGCTTCCCCCCCCCCCCCAACTTCATTTAAGTTCACTGTTATGGGCTAACCTGCAATATTGCAAATTTCCAGTTCATTCCCATGGAAAGTTTTCAATTTTGAAAATTCCAGGAATTTTACAACGCTAGCGCCCATGCGGGACACCTGCGATCGCTTCAAGGCCACAGCTGTGCCCACGAGGGTCTGCCTACCCTCCAATCCCGTCAACGATCTTGCTCTCCACAAAGCTGTAGACGTCCTGGAACTCCTGTTCCCGACAAGGAAGCGACTCGGGCACCGAGGATACATGCAGTCTGGAGAGAAGAGAAAACTCACAACCCAGTGCCCTTCAGGAAAAAGATGGACGACCCAATATACCAATCACACTGTTCCAGACTTCCTGTCTTCGCGATCCTTAAACCTGGCCTGATCTGCCATCAAGAAACAGAATTTTCTTTCATAGCCAACCGATTTAATTATAAATCATTATAAAAGAACTGGGCAAAAGGCACTGCTAGCTTTGTACAGATTTGTTTCTAAAGAACAAAATGGTGGCAGGAATTGAAATACGCAGCAAAGGAGATAATATGCCTACAATACATACATGTCACTTACACTGGTTCAAGCAGTACATCCAAAAAATGATTCATATACAGTAGTACACAAATCATAAAATACAGAACTAAACACATAACGTATTATACAGCAAAAGACCTCCTTGAGTGCCTTTGACATGAGGAAATGTGAAATGTCGCAGACACAGAAAGTCAGTTAATAATGCTCAAATATTAAATGATTAACAAGTATCCTTTGTACACGGCATGTACAAAATAAATCTAACAGAACAAAGCCAGCAGTTTAGTATTTGGAATGCGAATCGATATCATGGCAACCAGAGGCAGGACAGCCTTAAATCTGCCATTCCTAAGTTCCTGAGCAAAGAGCTGCACTGAGGCACCGACAGAACTGTAAAGCCCCGGAATGGTTCAGGAGAACCGTGGAAGGTTCTGCACTGGATCACCTCTCTCTGGCTTCCTCCAGCACGTTCCTGGGTTTCCGAGCTGGGAGGGACCTGGCAGGGATGCTGGGAGTGGCATGCCGGGGGGTGCGGGGAGTAGTGGGCGGAGCCTGCAGGTAGCAACAGGAAGTCATCAGCCCGTGTGTCCATGCACTTTTCCAGTCTGTGTATCTTAAGCAAGCGTCCCACCTTCTGACTGGGAGTTCTGCGCGGAGTCCTGGCCGAGGCCGACCCCTTGCGGGTGGATCTCGGCGTGTGGGAGGTCTGCCTCCTCTTCCTCACTGTAACGCTGTCATTGTCGCTCCCCTCCTCCTCAACCTCCTCATCCCCACTGCTACTCTTCGGCTCCTGGGATGGAAGGAAGCAGTCGTCCTCGCTGTCATCGGAGACGGGGTTTGCACTGGTGTTCAGCAGATTGCTAGGGGGAGACACACCTCTGGTTTAAAAGGGCATGTTTATCAGGACCCCCCCTGCCCCCACCACCCCATCTGAGCAAACGGCCTTTAGCTTCCCATCATGCTAACAAGCCAGATAATCGCACTTCGCTTACAGCTGCTTCCTGATACGAGAGGAAACCAACAGAGCGGACTTCCTCTTTGAGCGCGGCGTCATGGCCGCCTGGTCCAGCGGAGGCTCCTCAGCGCTGCCGGTTAATAGGACACTGAAATCAGATCCCGTTTCACCACACAGTACATAGCAGTCATAAATGAGGGTGTTCACTTACACAGACCCAAGAGCTGGCTCTCTCAAGGCGGAGGAGGACGACTCCTTCCGGAGGGACGGAGTCCGGGCCCTGAAGGACGAGAGCAAGACCGCGCAGCTCAAGTTCGTTCCTCAGCATCCCTGCAACTGCGCTGAACACTCAGCTGACGTCAATCCAGCAAGGCAAGTTTACAAAAAAGCGAAAAAGCCAGATCCAGACACTAACCGCCCAGACATCAAAACCCCAAAGTGATCGGGACAGAAAGTGATCAGACAAAACCTGATAATAGGTAGCTTAAAAATTTCATTAAATGAAAAATTCCCTTTTACCTTTCAAGCACTATGCACACTTACCCCAGGTTTAAATTTGATTTGCACTTGACATAATTCACACAAGAAAGGTGAACATACAGCAGTATACTTAAACCATTAAATTATCTTTTATCTCCAGTACCAATGTGGGTGGGTGAGGGATGCATTAACTTTCTTGCCATGGGTGACCGCAAAGGTGACAGTGACAACATGCAGAGCTAATTAACCTACTAACAACCGACCCAGTTCCATCTGTGTTTGCTCAGTACAGACAGTCACAGTGCACCCCCGCCCGCAGCCTGAGTGGTTCGGTCCAACACCCGCACTCTCATGGCACGCAACTCACTTCGGTGCCCTGCGACTGCTCCTCCGGGGTGTCACGGCGCTGGAGGACCCAGTGGCATCCCCCAGCCCCGCCTCCTCTCCCAGAGGGGTGGAGCCAAAGCCCCTGAAAACAGGCCAGACGACCCGGCTCTCACAGCAGCCTCAAACGGGCTGGGAGTACACCCCAGATATGTCACATACAGGACATGGAGCTTTCGCTCCAGGGTTGTGCAGGATGGCACACTACACGCACGGGACACACCGGGCTGATGCAGGACGAGTGACATCGTATGGGGGGGGGTAAAATGTCTAATGGCTAAGTCGGCACCCCCTCAGAAATTGGTGCCCTAGGCGGCTAACGATATCCCATAATGGGCTAACTGGCACTGACAGCCACAGACTACAAGAGAAGCATAAACATTTAGAAATTTACAATAATTGCTATTTATTTACATAGCTTACTTCTGTTAACATTGCCATTACAGAGATGCGTTCTGTCACACATACATCCCCATGAAAGTGACCTCTGCCTTTAAATCAGCAGAACCACCATGGCAATGAATACAAACTCAAGGAAACTCAGCAAATCGTAGCAGCCCACCTGGCAGAGTCCTGCTTGGGAAGCGGGGAGATGCGAGTGGGACAGGGGGGGTTCTGGCCTATCAGCCGGGGCGGGCTGATGACAACGGCGGACTTATTCAGGACCTTCATGGGAGAAAGGGAGAACACGCGGGCCGGGCTCTGAGGCGGGGAGGCCGGCATCCTCCTGGCCAGCTCCACCCGGGACTCGACCTCCTCCAGCAGCAGCTCGTCCAGAATGTCATCCTTCGTCAGCCTCTTCCCGGGACCTGGGGGGACACCACCGGCGGGGACGGGTCACTTACAGGAGGCAACACCATCCCAGCAAACAGAAGCCAGGACATAACATTACCGCATAAAGCTTAAGGCAGCCACTGCAGGACCAAAAATAAAGAGCAGCATTCTACAGAGAGCTGTGACACGTGACAAGGCATCTATTTATGCCGGAAAATGCATTTTAAATATTTATGTAAATATTTATGTGTTTTAATTCCTGAATATTGATAATTCCACCAGCTTCAGCTCATACAATTCAAATCCCAATTTAAATGTATTACAAATACACATCAACAAAGACTAACATTCAGCAAAATTAATTACTTCAAAATAAAAGCACAAGTGAATAAAAACATGAAATTGATAAACTGATCGATTCACTCTAAGAAGTCGGTAAGACACTGTTCAAGATTTCAGCTGCAGCACTCAGCCATTAATAAAAAATAAAATGTGTTTTGAGCCTTCTTGTTAATTTAAAAATGAATACGCAGCGGGAATAATCAGCATACAAAATATTAAAGATGGCCTGGATGTGGAACAAGGGCGCACTGCACTCACTGCTGAGGTCTAGCTTCTTGCGGACCCCAGGCGTGGCCTCGCAGCTGCCCCTGCGTTTGCGGCTCAGCGCTTTGGAGGCTGACAGCTTGGAAGCTGAGTGGCTGGACTCCGCCTCGCCGGCGCCCAGCTTGCCGACACTCCTGGAGAGCTGCCTGAGGGAGACGGAGTGCGCCCGCTTCATCACCGCCACGTCGGGCGTGGGCAGGCTACGGGCCACGGGGGCCGGCGGGGGGGCCACGGGGGGCGCGGGCTTAGGCCCCGGCTGGACCCACTCCGCCTCCACTGGCCTGAAGGCCTTCATGTCCCAGCACAACTTGACGTACAGCGTGCTCTTGCTCGTGTTCTCGGGGAAGGCGCCATCTGGTGCCAGAAACACCACCTGGGACAGACAGCCAGAGGTAAATGGCTGCCCCAGACGTTGGGAGGGAAGCCACCCCCCCACAACAATCCAACAACCTGCACGGTGTCTATGATAGTCTCAGCATCTATCTCAGTGTCACACGTCTTGTCCTGGTAGAAGAAGACTTCCTGGGGATGAGCCTCTCTGCCCAGCAGCCTCCTTTTTTTGAAAGGGATTTCATGGAACCGTATGAACCACTGCACCTCTGCCAGCTTCCTCTTGCCAGTCTCTGGGGATGAAAACAAACGCAGAACAGGGCTCAGACTCTCCCTGGCAGATTTTGAAGGGTCATATGTATTTCAGAGAAATACAACGATTCTGACAGTATTTCCTTACCGCTACTGAAAAGCTTCAGTAGTTTCGCCACGTAGGGGAAATCATCATCGTCGCCTTCAATCAAGACGTATTGTCCAGGTTTTATGAGACACGGTTCTGAGAGTCCGTCCGTTTTCAAGCACAGAGAACTAAACAAACAGATAAATAAGCATGTCGCAGTATTTTCCCATCCAGTGTCACAGCAGAAGCCTTAACATCTGTAACTTTACCGATCCAAGAATTAACGTTTTTGACCCAACATGCTTTTTAGACGTACTGGTTTTTTTTTTAGACTTTTACTGGGTTTACTAATAGTGATATAAAACAACATACTCGTAATAAAACGTTTTCAGCTTCCTGTTGACGCTGTGCGGTCTTCCTCCCCAAGAGTAAAATCGTTTAATTCTTAGTCTTGTGAAGTACCGGCTCATCTTTTCTGACCTGCAGAAATAAAACAGCTACTCTTCAAAATCAAATTACTTGACGTTGCATTTTAATTACAGGTCATTTTTAACAGGCTAAATGTAAGTTTACAGTACAGACAATGAATCACGTTTACCAGACCGTGGTCTTGCAGTATGATTTTTATAAATTAAAAGCCGAAACACGAAAGCTTTAAGTCTGACTACATTAACACAACTGCAAAAATGATAAACACACATGATAATATCATTATCAACTGACATCTGATCATTTTAACACGTTAAGGGAAGATATACTTACTTTGTAAACGGAAATTTAAGGAACTATAAACGTAAAACCACAGACAGAAAACTAATGTGCAATAAAAAGTCAGAAATTGGCCTTTATACAAGTAAAAAGTTCCTGATAAAACAATTAAAATAACACGCAACACTGGAAGGATACAGGATATGCATTAAAAAAAAACTTTTTCGTGTTGTATTTCGCCCATTCAGTTGGCTTCCTTATCGCTGCATATGTACATCTTGGTCTGACAGTATCGCTCACGCTGGTTTTTCCCGCGCTGCTCTCTAAGCTGCCGATATTACGCAATGGGAGGGCTCTTCTTCTGACACGTGATACGGCCAGTGGCTCTAGCACCCGCCCATAGCACCCGGAAGTTTTAACCTTTGAGCCGGAAACGCTTGTGTTAATTTCGGAAACCTCGGTCTTTTTTGTTTTTTTTCCCCCGCGAGTCAAAATGGCGAATAGGACGGTTAAAGATGCCAATAGTATCCACGGGACAAATCCACAGTATTTGGTGGAGAAAATTATAAGAACCCGAATTTATGAATCGAAATATTGGAAGGAGGAATGTTTCGGACTTACGGGTAATTTTTCTAGTTTAATAATTACCGGAGATACCTTTTGGCGAGATGATGAAGCTAGTTAGCTGGTTGCATGTAGATCAGTAAGTGGCTGAACTAACGTGATTAACGTGTGTTTGTCCTGGTGTGACGCTAATCTGTTTCATTAAACGGTGATGTGTTAATTATTCGATTAAAAAAATTATGAACTTTCTCTAATCTTGCAAAAAATACCGTGGAGTTATGTGTCGCCTAGTTCTTTACGTACTTGTGTGAATCGTTCCATGTTTGTCAGTATTAATTCGTCTCTGCTGCTATGGATCTTTGTCCTATAAGCTGAGCTGGTTGTGGACAAAGCCATGGAACTGAAGTACGTCGGTGGAGTGTATGGAGGCAACATCAAACCGACGCCATTCCTCTGTCTTACTTTGAAGATGCTTCAGATACAACCGGAGAAAGATATCATTGTGGAGTTCATCAAGAATGAGGATTTTAAGTAGGTGTCAATTGATTACATATGCTCGTGTTACAGCCTTTCATGCTTTTTAATAAACATTGCATTAAATTTTTTGTGGTGTTTAAGGGAACCTCATGATTGCCTGCGTTACAGGTATGTCCGTCTACTTGGAGCCATGTACATGAGATTAACTGGCTCGTCGGTGGACTGTTACAAATACCTGGAACCACTGTACAATGACTATAGGAAAATCAAACAACAGAACAGAAATGGAGGTGAGCTGTGTGTTTGTCCCCTGTCTGAGATTTACAGTTTGTGGCTGGCTGATGTTGGGGGTACTTGGTGTTAAAAACAAGTGCCATTTCTTTTGCAGAGTTTGAGCTGATGCATGTTGATGAGTTCATAGATGATCTGCTGAATAGCGAGAGAGTGTGTGACGTTATCTTACCCAGGCTTCAGGTATGTCTGCATCAGCTTCCAGTCCATTCCATATACTTGTGGTTCCAAGTGGTGTAGTCAACTCCTGCAATTAACTTTACTGTTTACTATAGAAAAGGCAGGTACTGGAGGAGGCTGAGTTGCTGGACACGCGCATCAGTGCCCTGGAAGAAGATCTGGATGAAGTTGAGAGCAGTGAGGAGGAGGATGAAGAAGAGGAGCGGGTGAGATGTGGCTGCTTCAGTGTTCCCGGAGCAAAATTGGCAAAAATGGTCTTACCCGGAAGATGTTATCTAACCTCCCATGTCTGGTCCATTAGCCTGAAAGAGGGCAGTCTCCAGAACCCCACAGACGGAGTTACCGTGACAACGATCGACCCCGCCGCTCACCGTCTCCTCGCTACAGACGCAGCCGCTCACCCAGGAGGTGAGATTGGACTTAATTATACAAGCTTTTTTTTTAGCAAGTGATTCACATCAGTAATAAAAACCAAAACATTTTTTTCTTTCTTTTTTAGGAGAAGTAGATCACCGAAGAGACGAAGGTATATCTTGCACTTCTTTTTCCTTTCGGGTTACATTTCAATGAATTCAGTTAATTATACATTCAAGTATTCCCGTTGATTTAGTAATGGGATAATAGCAATAAGATAACAACATATGTTAATTAGTTCATTAGCACTGATGAGCTGCATGGTAAACATTCCCCATACAGCATTTTTTGTGATTCGGGGCTTAAATATTACTGTACCAAAGTAAATGTATAAGCCTAAATTTGACATTTACCAAACTGGGAAGTGGAAAACAATGGGTGAGTTATGAATATTGGGAATTCCCGCCTTTGTTTTTTTGCAAGCCCTTTTTTGTGTGTGACACTGAAGACAGGATATTTCATCCAAACCTCCTCTCCACTTTCTCTGTAGCCCCTCTCCAAGAAGGGAGCGCCATCGCAGCAAGAGTCCACGCAGACACCGCAGCCGCTCCAGAGAGAGGCGGCATCGCTCCAAGTCCCCGGGTCAGTAGACAAGCCGGCGTTGGGCTTTGCACACCCCCCACCCCCCCACTCGGGCATGGGGGACAATCGCTCACCACTTCCTGTTTGTCGCTTCAGGTCACCATAGGAGCCACAGACACCGCAGCCACTCCAAGTCCCCCGACAGGTGAGTGAGGCGGCAGCTGGGCGCGTCGGCCATGGGCAGCGGGGATGCTGGGTAACCATGTCTCTCTCAACAGGTCAAAGAAGAGTCACAAGAAAAGCCGAAGAGGAAATGACTGATTTATTTACCAGATTCTGTTGGTTTTGTACAAATTATGCCAGCTGTATTTTTTTTTTTTACATATAATTTACTGAAGTAACAATCTGCCTTTCATTTTCTTTATACAGTTTGACAGTGTTTTGGTAGTGTCACATGTTGGTTTATTCTGCAGTTCCAAATGGACTTTTTAAATACAGTTTGGAGTTACTAATTTAAATCCTCTGTGTGACATTATTATATAAATAGGGGTGTGATTCCTTGGGGATGTGAAAATCTTACTACAGAGAAATTAAATTTTAGTGCTGGATGCTCCCATCTTGGATCAAGCGGATACTTCGGGAAATTAATAAATGACATATATTACTCATGATGGTTTTTGACCATGCATTGTGGATAAACAATGAAAACACTCTTCCATCTTTCAATACATTCTTTGTGACACCTGTTAAGAAGGGAAATGACAACATGCTCAATTTATATAGCCACCCCTTGTAATGAAGGGATTCCGGATGCTGAAGTAGCAAGGCTTGCTTGCTGCCTCTCTGTAGAAGGCCTCACTGTCACAGTATATAAGTCAAAGCTCCATTCAACAGATGCATAACAAAAATGGGCCCATCAGTGTGTTTTCCATAATTGCTTGCAGACCCATGGTATCCCTGGACCTTATGTCAGAATGCCCAAGTCATGAGACGGGCCACTTCTGGTCAGGATGGCAACCATCACAGTACCTAAAGCAGGGTTATTCAAATCACGGTCCTTAAGATCCAAGCACTGCTGATTTTCCAGCCTCCTTATACCTGTGAATCCCCTGGCCAATGAGAATCGGTAATTATTAAAATACCTACCTGGGAGACTGGAAACGAGGCCTATACTTGGAATTGAGGTCCAGATTTGAAGAACCCCAGGCTAAAGTCTTGTTTTTTTCCCAGTATCTGATGAAAGGTGAATCTCACTAGCATGGAAGCTCGGTTTCTAGAGCTTTTGTTCTTAGGGTTTGGAATAGTTGAGTCCAGTTGGTTCTGTGTGTATAAGATCATTTTCTCGCATGGGTTTCCTTCAAGTGACCAGCTGAGGGAGGGAGGGAACATCTGTGGACTCTTCCTGGGGGAATGAGTATGACTTAACTTATTTTTTCATCCTTACTATAGACTTAATGTCAAAATCTATGGCTTTTAAAACATGCTTTAAAGCTTGGTGAAATGCGAATGTGCCGCAGTTGCTCCCCAACCCAAGGTTCCTGCATCTGGAGATCTGCCACCCTGCATGGCTTAGGTGCAGCCCGAATTTAACACGCCTGATACAGATAATCAGGCCCTTCACTAGCATCTCAGTCAGCTGTGTCAACATAGCTGGCTGTAATACTGAGGTGCTATAAATGGTATCCATGGAAGGTCTGGAAACAAGCAAGCTCAGGAAAAATTTATCTCAGCACTGATCACCCTGATGGATGATTTTTGTAAAGTTAATCTACCCATCTTCTAACCGCTTATTTTGGTCAGGATCGCGGGATTTTCCGTTACTATAAGCACGAAGTTCATATAAACGTTACTTTAAGAAATCAGTAGCGGTATTCAGAGTTTCAGGACTTTGGTCGGTCATTTGCTAAAAAGACAGAAAGTTGGTGTTTTCCTGAACGTTAAGCATAACTTTCTGGCAGAGCGGGCATAAGGAATTCTTCCCTCCAAGCGGCTTTTTCTGTCTACGACGTCCGTGTCCCTTCTGGCGCTGTGAGCACGTCAAACCCCTCCTGGGTGTATCCTGTCTCCTGTTTCTGCTCCCGATGGCAGCCTAACGTTTCAGACGTGCTTACAGTTTATTACGGGCATGCTGAAGTGATCTGCTACTTTTTAACAGGTCTAGTTGTATCTCATCTGCATAATCCTTTTCCAACATCCGTGTCCTAGTGGGACCACAGGAAGACACGAAAAAAGAAATAAAAACTACAATATCCTACGTAGTGCTTTTAATACACGAGGGAGCGACTCTATAGACCTCAGATCCCGACTTTAAAAATGCGGTTCGCATTGATAATGGTGATGCTTCTCCTCGCCAATTTTGCTGAGGGTAAACAGAAGGATTTTTACACTTTTAAGGTGGTGAATAGCAGAGGGAAGCTGGTGTCTTTGGAGAAATACCGGGGGTCGGTAAGTTTCTGCACTTCGGTGCCGGACAGTCATTCTGTTAAATTTCTTTGTAGCGATCGAAACCCTCAAGCCACTGCATGTTCAAAAGAAACATCTGTGCATGACAATCAAGATGATTATTTAAGCATATACATATATATTTATTTTCGGTACCGTCGAAACAAAATAACATTACAAACGTTTACGTTTCTCTGTTCTTTGTGTCCGGCATCTGTATACGTGGCAGGAGCAGCTAACGCGTAACTACATACTATTAGTATTACTGGGGAAGGTATTTTACTGTCCTGTTAACTGTTAAATAACATGTAATAAAACGGTACAGAGCAGTAACGTGTTATATATACACGTATAGAAACACACTCTGAAACTAATCTGAAAGCTGAAAGTTAACATGTTTACGGTGTGATTGGAGTTCAATATGAATGAATGAACACAGGAATACCACGTTTGTTCAAACCGAAGTCGCACGTTCGAGTTGTCAGTGTGAAAAAACAAACCGAAAAAGGCCGGGTGGGAAATGTTTTGATATGATTCAGATCATAGGATGAGCACTAAAACGACGGGATCCGTCCAATATTCCCGCAGCAGCCTGTCGAAACCCGACTGTAATGTCTTTGACTCAACACTTGAGGTCATGAGTGAATAACATTAGTTATTTAAAAAAAAACGTCGTTTTTCGTTTTGCTGGGCCTTGAAATACAAGGCCAAATGTTTGAAATAGGTTTTTTTTTCCCCCAATGAAGTCTGGTTTAATTTTTATAGTATTGCAAATGGGTCCGGCCTTTTGGGTTATTGGGGCTGGTGTGGTACTGAGGCATCACCTGCTGCATAGTGACACCTGGGTCCTAATTTGAGGCAGCCCATCCGGGTAGGCACATAGAACATGTTATCTCTCCAGCAAGATGACCATCTTCCTTTGCTGTCGGGGGAGCTTTGTAAAGTACCCAGAGGAAACCCACTCAGACAGGGAGAACATGCTGATTCCATACACAGCGACTGGGTGGGATTTTAACGCCCAAACCTGGACGGAGCCGCGGTGATTAACATCTTGCTTTTACATTATTTAGTTGACGCTTAACATAAAATTGAGAGAAGAGGGTCAGTCAGTCCCTGGAGCCACTGAGGGTTAAGAGCCCAACAATTACATAAATCTGCCAAACACGGGATTTGAACCTGCAACCATCTGATCATGGGCATAGAGTCCTAATCCAAAGTACCATACATCACCTGCAAAGAAGTTGAAGCCAAACATACCTGGATTAAAAATGACTGCTTATGATGAACTTTTATAGTCCAAATGGGTTTCTTACATTACTGTGTATATCTTTCTTTTTTATCATCCAAGCTGTATTTATGAGAATTTCTATTTTTGACTGCTGGTCTTTAAGTAGAAGTGATTGAAGATTGGAGAACTAACCACATGCCAGTGAGGAAAGTTCAAGTGAAATCAAGTGAAGTCAGGTGCATTGAATGCCATGGTTACAAGTGTTGAGTGCTTTTTCATTCTTTGCAACAGCCTCAAATGAAATTTATTAAAGCTATAAGTAGTGTGAATGCTGAATTATTACAGCCTGAAAAGGAAAAAATTAAGAGACAACAGCAAATGTTTCAGTTTCACTTTGTAAAATGAACAAGCTTTTTGCAAACTCCAGCCTGGCTCTTCCCTGCTTCTCATTGATGAAGGGCTTCTTCCTTGCTTTATGGGTATACAGTCCTGCTTCTAGGAGCCTGATACAAACTGTCCTAGCAGTGCACTTCACATCTTCACTTAATATTTCCCACTTGTTTTGTCACTTGAGGTCGTCTTACGATTTATGAGACACTGCCGTATAAGTTGACGGTCATCTCTGGCGTTTGGCTGGAAGCAGCCTGTCTCTCAGTGTGGCCTTTGCCAGCAGATCCAGGGTTAAACCGGGATTTAACAATGCAGGTGTTTTTTAAAAATATAGTGTGGTCTCTCAGTTTTTTCCAGAGCTGTATTTAGCTATCTTATTCAAACGGTCCTGTTTGTGATTTCTGTAGGCTGACAAAGAAGTCATTGATGGAAGCGATTTGTAATGAACAGTAAAATATGCTTGTCTTGTGCACACCAAAAGGAAAATCTGCTGACAATGGCAGCCTTTGTGTCTGTGTTCTGCTAAGGTGCAGTTTTTATCACTTTTTCTAGTCCGATCCCGATACAGATATTATAATTATCTGTCAGTACCGATACCAATGCGATATTTTTCCCATTGTATCAACTACTAGAGATATTTGTATCAATACATTTCAATTAGCACGGTGAACATTCTGCATGCACTGTTGCAGTGGCTTTGTTTGAGTTTGCTTAGAATAGGAAAATATGTTGGTCATGTTGCTCCAAAGCTGCGCCGCTGTGCTACAGGAAGAAATCCACAGGCAGCAGGATTTACACAAGTCTGCTTCTTTGTTTTATTCATAGCAACTTTCACAAAAATGAACAGAAACATTTTCTGAAAATGCAAATTGTGCAATCGGCTCCCTAATTAAATATAATAAAGGAATCATAAAAATATCACTGTATACCCAAACTAACCATTTCTGCCAAAACGTACATAGGTCTCCAGAATAAAATATACAATGGAGCTCAGATACAACTTTTAAGTAGTAATTAACCAAACCTTAGAAAGAATACAAGTCTGAAGACATCTAGTTTGTATAAATTTTACTTTCTCCCAAAATTGTGACATTTGGAAAGATTTGTGTTTTTTAATCTTGTGTGAGTGACAGTAATTTGAATTAAATTTATTTAGCAGATGCTTTTTTCCAGAGCAACATATGATTGACAAGGCAAGGTCAGACTGTGCTGGAGATATGGGTTTAATTTAAGGGCCTCCTTCAAACACCAGGCACAGCCACCTAACCCTCTGAGCCACACAGCACCCCCGGTAATTACCCGTTACTCTCAATGTGCAGGTATCGCTGGTGGTGAACGTGGCCAGCGAGTGCGGCTACACCGAGGATCATTACACTGACCTCCAGCAGCTCCAGCGAGACTTTGGGCCCTACCACTTCAACGTGCTGGCCTTCCCCTGCAACCAGTTTGGCCAACAGGAGCAAGGCAGCGACAAGGAGATCGACAGCTTCGTGCGGCGTGTTTATGGTGTCAGTTTCCCCCTCTTCAGCAAGATCGCCGTGGTGGGAAGTGGGGCCAACAACGCTTACAAATATCTGGTTGGTAAGTGAGTCTCTCGTGCAGTAGAAATAAGCGTAGAAATATAGGCTGTTACGTACTCATGCCCTTGCTATGCCTCTGCTCTTGATACACTGATGCGAGCAGGTGTTTCTGTAGCCAAAAACTATCCCTTTGTTTGGGTTAGTGGTAGTAAATTAATGTGATTTTTAATGTCAGCTAAGTCTGTTTTTTCATGTGTGAGTTAATGTGAGATGGATTTGAATTGAACATTAATCTGACACCTTAGAGAACGAATGCCTGAAGATGCCTTTTTGTGATTCTGACTTGATGCAACGGCAGAACTAAAATCCTCTCTTGCTACTTTGACAGAGTCTTCCGGAAAGGAGCCGAATTGGAATTTCTGGAAGTACCTGATCGACGTGAATGGGAAAGTGGTAAATACGTGGGGGCCCACCACCTCTGTGAAAGAGATCCGTCCACTGATCTCAGACATGGTGCGACAGATCATCCTGAAGAAGAAAGTGGAGCTTTAGGATGCTGAAGCGGAAAGCTTGACAAGACGTCAGATGGAGGAGGAGTGACTGAAGGTCAGAACTTAAGGGCCTGGTGCTACATTCATAGAGTGTTTTCAGGAATCTCTATGAATCACACAATAGTCTACAAAAAAAGGGGCAATTAAGGCTAGTTATAATGAAGAGTAACGTTAACGACATGAGAACAACGATGAAAGTCGGCACGTCTGTCTTTGCATTCAACATGAAAACACGTTAATTTGTTTTGAGTATCCATTCATTCATCCATCCAATGTGTGCTTATCCTGTTCAGGGTCTGGGGCCTGGAAGCGTTCCATTAAACTCTATGAAATTCAATTTATACTTTTAATGCCTCATAAAAGAGTATTTTAACAAAAGGGATAGATCTGAAAGGGATCAGATAAGTTGATCTGAACAGAATTTTAAAAGCAAAATATAATGTTTTTGTTTCTACAGTACCTTCATCATTATTAGGGGCATGAAACAATATTCTTTGGTGAGCATTCACTTTTGCAGATGTCATAGAGCCATGCAGATATTATTTTGTTGATAATCATCTTTACCGACGGGTGTAATCAGGAAAACACATTCCATGCTAAATTATGGTCTTTTGGTCAGAAAATGTGCCTTAACTATTATATTACACAGAGGCACACGCTTGTGTGTCGCCCCATTGTACCTGCTGGCTAAGGGGTGGGGCCCAGTGAGGGTCACGTTCCATCCAAATGAATTTATGCATCAACACACCTTGGTGGGAAAAACTGAAAAACTTCTGATCTTCCACTGTTGTGTTTCCTGCTGTATAGCAGTCATTTACATAACCGCATAAATGTTACTGGGCTGCCATCCAAGCGCTCTGTGTCTCATTGTCATTCCTTTTAATTTTAGAAATTCTTTAATTCTTAGTTCACTCAGCAGGGCACTGGCATCTTTGGGTCGTCCATTTTAAGTGGCATCAGTTTTCTTTTGTAATTTTGTGTGTTTAGAAATAATAAAAAGAAAAACTTTTGTAAGCACAGTGCCTTAATGTTTTGTATAACCTGCCTAAAGTTTTATCTTAATGAACAGAAATTTACTCACTCAAAGTTATTTCTACAGCTGAAGGGAAACATATCATAAACATATCAGTGTCAGTTTCATGTACATACATTATACAATATAGCATCATATGAATGGGAAACGAACATTTCACATGACCTTATGTTGATCTAATGTACCGTGAACCTTGCTAATCATGTCATAACAAACATTTGCTGCCAACAACAAGTGTTGAAACATTTTAACATCCCAGTGTTGAAACATTTTCTTCTTCCTGTTAAAAACTGAGCATACCTTATGGTGAACTTACCCTTCTTTTTCTCCTTGCTGTGATTCTGTAGTGTTTGTCTGAGATAAGCCCAGCTCAAAGCATGTTTTTATGCCATTTGATTAACAAGGTAGTTTAGCCGCCGCTTGGTAACAGATTAACACCCAGGGACATCCCGAAAAGGAGAAGATGGGGAGCAGGTGACTGATTCACAGCTCTTAAGCAAAGCAGTAGTTTGGTTAACTCTGCCCAATATAATTTACTTATTTATGGTGTGTGTGCGGGGCAGTATGGTGGTTAGCTCTGTTGCCTCACACCCCTGGGACCAGGGTTTGACGCTCTGTTATGGCTCTGTGTGTGTGGAGTTTGCATGTTCTCCATCTGTCATAATGGGGTCTCCTCTGGGTTCTCTGGTTTCCCCCCACAGTCCAAAAACATGCTGAGGTTAATTGAAGTTACCAAACTGCCAGTAGGTGTGAGTGTGCCGAGTGATGGGTTGGCGCCCCCCCCCCCCCCGCCCTGGGTTGTTCCCTGCCTTGCGCCCATTGGGTCTGGACCCCCGAGACCCTGAATAGAACAAGCGGTTACAGAAAATGAATGGATGGTGCTGGGGGCTTAAGATTTGTTTTATATTAATTTATTTAGGGCCAAGTGTGAAAAAATCCCATGTGCATTTTATTATTACTGTAAACAAACATAAATATCCAATATTTAATAACGCTCTAAAGTAAACAGACCTCAGTTTGCTGAATATATTTACATACTTCCAGGTGAAAATAATGGAAAGTAGTGTGCCGGAAATCTATGAAAAAGCGTATCTAAAGGTGAGAGCGGTTCACTGTTTAGATGTGGTATGACACAGCACTTAGGATTGGCTACTGGTGTTCGCAACCCGGGGTCACCCAGCTATCCGAAGAATTATTGGCCAAATATAAACGACCCCGATTATAAGACAACCCTCCCATTTTTTGGCTACTATTTTTAGAAAAGACATTTTGGAATACCAAATCTTACTTTTACAAAGATGAATAATTCATTTTGACAAGAACATATAATAAGTTAACCAGCAACCACTGCCCGGGTCTCAGG